GCGGCACCCTCATCACGGCCTCGGGCAAGTAAGTCTTCTCCCCTAAACCAGACCGCTCGAGGATCTTCTTCTGGAACCCCAAATTCTCCTCTGTAAAACTCCCAGTGAGCTCTGATTTCTGCAGAAACATGCCTCTGCCACACGTCCTGTCCGGGTGGGGCTTGTAGCAGGCGAAATTGAGGAGGTAAACCTTTCTGGGTCGGGTCATGACATAAAGGGTAGCCAAAAAAACCATGAGAGAAGAACAGAGTGTTACAGAGAGAAGATTTGAGTTCAGGTGGTTCCAGAGATGGAGTAAGTCGTGGAGTTTGAAGGTGGAGAGATGGGCGGAGGCGGCGGCTAGTAAGGGGAGCAAGAGAAGGTACATGGCGTTGGAGATTAGGTAATGGTAGCCGAGTTTGACATATTTGAGGCGGACGGATAAGAGGAAATTGGGGAGCCTCCGGTCAGCCATTGATGAAGATTGAAGAAAGCAATTGAGTTTTGAAAGGAAAGCGTGGGGGGAAAGGAGAAGGGAAATGGGGGATTTAAAAGGGAATGGAATGCGCAGAGAGAAGTTGGAGGATGCAACCACCCCCAACGAACTTTTAATTGTGAACCAGGCGGGGCATTCAATTTGCCAACTCCCAAACCACTGCCTCACTCTTTCACAACTTTACCCCATCTTTCCAAACTCATAATAATAACCCTCTCATCCTGGTTTGCCCCGTTTCGTGTTTCACATCCGCTCTTTCCGACGTAAATGTAACCATCTAATTTCATCATCGACAAATATTATTCTCTTTAAACTGAGGTTTTCGCCCAAACCAATGTGAGATCTCAGTAAAATTCGAACAGACTCGACTTATCACTTATACCCTAAAACTAGATTGGGTGCAGTGGGTCTAGCTTTGTTATTTTATTATTACTTAGAGTGCTTCAAATCAAATTCTTGCAATGGTACATGTGGAGGATTTATTAATATGAGACATTTTTTTAAAAAACAAAACCACGAGAGTTTATGTTCAAAGTATTGAAGTGAACAAGACCTTTCAATCTAGAAGCTAGTGCTTGCAATAATTTAGCACGAGGAATATAAAAAAGTAGTATTTTTCTAATATTTGTGTTACAATTACCTATCTTTAAAATTTTTATTTTTTTAAAAAATAGTTTTATTTGTACCGACAGTATTGAATAATAATAGAGTTTCGAATTTATGAAATTACTATAATTGAATTCTATTATTATTACTTTGATTTCGTCATCAGTTAAGTTTATTCAACGTTAAAAAGTTGGTGTCAAATGTATTTGGAACAAAACGAAAATAAATAATATTCGAGACATAAATTATAATTAATATTGAGGCTCTATTTTTGTCCGACTGTGTATAAATGACGTGGCGAAAATCTAATGGCCAAAACGCTACGCGTCGCCCATCGGACGGTAAACGTGGAAGTGGGTTGCCAATCCGAGAGATTTAATTCGCAAGCAATTACTATTTTTTTAAAAAAACATTTCATTCATTTTATACTTAAATCATTATTTTTTGTTAATGTAATATTAAAAATACAATATTTACTCTATAAGATAAGAAGTAAATAAAGTAATAATCATTTTAATTAATTTGAAAAAGTCTAATATTTTCTTTGACAATTAATTAAGAACCTAACTTTAGTGATTGGGACATATATTATATTTATCTAATCCAACTAAAAATGAATTAATTTGCTATAATTAAAACATGTAAATTGAAATCCACCTAAAATTGGTAGATATAAACTCTATGAAATAGTAATTAAAATGGATATGACTTTTTGGAATGAGTAGCCAACCCATTTATTTAGGGTAGGGGGGGAAAATATTTATTTCTTTTCTTTTATTTAAAAAAACACGTGGTAAATATTTGTCGACACATGGATAGTTTTTAATGAAGGTTATTAATAAAATGACTATGTTACTCACTTACAAAAAAAATAAATATTTGTGTAAGTTTTGAATTTATTTAGTGACTATTAATCCAATGGAGTGAATTCATATGGTTCCTAACTTTTGATTTAAATTGAGGGTGTCCTTATCTGTTACCCAATTTAATTGGACTGTCCCACCTTAATTAATCTCACATTAATGCCTCTTTTACATATCTCTTTCTAATTATAATATTAATTAATTTTTTTTCCGGATAATTATATATATATATTCTACGAGTGTGATTAGGGAAGATTTGAACAAAGCGTGGAATCTCATACAACATAAAGGTGGTTGGGGTAGAGTTGTCGAATCAAATACGTAGACTTTGTTCCATAACATATTTACGTATTTATTATTAATTCATCTAAACTTCCAACTAATACCCTCACGTATTTATTATTCTTCCATACTCAATCTTCTCGTTTTGACTTCCACTAATTTGTCTACTTACTCAACTACATTTAGTTGATAACGTTTAGAACGACTCATTAAATTTATAAATAAATTAGAGAAGAATTGAGAAGTACACGAAATTTGTGTTTGTTCACGCTATTTTATTATCTTCTAGAACTTTACTTACATGATTGTGAAGTTCCAGACGGACTAATAACAGTAAATTTTGAATTTTTCCATTTCTATTTTCCTACGTCATATTAATGGATAAAAATATATATTTCTTAGTTTTTTTTTTTTTTTAGAGAAAAAAATTTATCATTTGAACTAATTTTACATAGAATTAAATCAAAATAGCTATAAATTATTATAGTCTATATTTTAAATATTTCTATCAATAGCTAGGAACATGAATTGTTTAATTTTATAAAAGGCTATTTAAGAAAAAAGAAAAATGAAAATAAGAGATTAATTGACGGCACAACACAACATTTACCTACTTTATAATTAATTTAAAATTAATGCAATATAAATAAAAATAGACGTATATCAGTTATCTTCCATCCATAATATAAGAAAATGAATGCTTAAAATTATAATTTTATATATTAGTTCGTGTATTATTAAATTATTCGGTTTCTGAAAAAATATTATTTAAGATTTAGTAAAATTAATTTTTTTTACTATTTTAGTATTTCAAAGAACCCATAGCTCAAAATAAAATTATAATTAATTTTGAATTACTCAAATTAAATCCAAGATTTGGAAGCAAAATGACGTGGCACATGAAATAATCAAAAAGTGACATGTGGCATGACTGATTTTTCTTCTCCTCTTTTTTAGCTGTTTTTCCTTATTTATTTTAGAATTTAATCTCCACCATTCATTCTCTCAACCTTCATCTAATAAGTCATTTTTTAATCCAACATTTAAATTTCATATTATTTTATTTTTTTTCTCATCCAATCAATCCCTACCGTCCATTCATTTTTACCCTAAATCCAATAGTTTAATTCAATAATTTGACATTATTAAAGAAAAAAAATATAATTTAACACAATTTAAAAGTGTATTGGGCCTGCTCCAGTAATCGTCAATTTAGACCCAATTCAGTAATTAACTAATTATTCGTATTAATATATCAAACCGGACCCACAAAAGATATATATAATGTAAAATGTCTAAATAAAGTAGTAATTAATATTCATATTTAAAAGACCATAAATTGGAAACAATTTTTTAGTCAAAAGTCAAGATCGCCCCCTCTAAATCGTTAACTCCATAAAACACGGGCATTAAATTAAATAGTAAATTAAAATAATATCAAAACAATATTTTAACATTAATTGGGCAATAAAATTAATGGGTTGGCTTGAATTTTTCATTTGTCTCGTGTGAAAAATATTATATGAAACTGTCGAATATATAAATTAACATATATACACGTGGCAGAGGTCGTTGTGGCAATCAACGCCAAATCTAAAACTAATTAGGTAGGGGTTAACAAAACATCTAAGCATGATCTGACACGTCCCTTATTTGTACAGCAAGGAAATGATTAGCTTTTAAATAATGACAAGTGGAATTTGTTGAAATTGGGGTGTTACTATTATTAACAAACCCCACCTGTTTTTAGATCTTATTTTTCTTGAATGTGACAATTAATATCCTTTTAAAGCCATGGTTTTGGCCGTGAATATGATATGTTTTTTTTTTATTTTTAAAATTATAATTATATGTGGTTGCTAGATGGGGACAACATTCACAATTCTTAGTTTAAACAAAATATCTTTCATTTTTTAAAAATCATAATTGTCACTAAATTAATTTTAAGACGACAAAAGAAACGTAGGATTATACAAAGCTTAGTAAATAATAATTGGAGACAGTTTGGTAATAATTATATTTGTATTATTATTAATTTTAATGTACCTTTCGGATGGTATGAAAGAGCGTATATGTTTAAAAGACCCTCTGCCTCGCTCTGATTTGGCAAGTAGGTCAGCTCTTGCAATTTGCCAAATTGTCACCTAATTGCCAGCTTGGCAAGCTTCTGTTGCTGACGTGTAATTGTATTTACCCGCCCATTGGATCTCATTAAATTACTAAATTACTAAATTACTAATACACCCTTCTCAGACTCTGATTTTGCTTTGTGTTCAGATATTTCTGTCATTTCAACTTTAATAAAATGTTATGTTACTTTCAAAAAGTTAGTTATAAATAAATTATTGGACAATTTTTTTAATAAAAATTATTTAATCTTGAAAATAATATTTATCTTTGTATTTTATAATGATTTAGTTTATTTATTTTTAAATTTAGTAATAACTTGTTCAATTTTAGTATACTTCATATATAAACTTTTAAATTTATAATAATTTATGTACCATTAAAAATATTGTTAAGATTTAGTTTTATAGATCTACCATTAACAATATTGTTAAGATTTAATGAAATTTGTAAATATTTTTATTAAGTTATTAAAATGAAATTGTTAGAAGTATATAAGAATTAAATGGTTGTAAAGATAAAAATTTGAAATAAAATATTTACAGAAAAGAAAGTGAATCAAATTAAAGATATTTTTATTTTGAAATAAGGAAGACAGCTAATTCCACAACCATTACGGAATACATTATAGAAAGCTATTATAAAAGGCTAATCGGGCGTTCATTAAAACAAATACAATTCTTGATTTCCAAGGACTTTCGGCGGACAGCTCCGCCATGAAACCAGGGCTCCGGCCCACTCCGGCTGCAGTTCCGCGATCTGCCGGCACCACCCTTCTCGGGAAGTACGGCTTAGGCCGTCTTCTCGGCCGTGGAAGCTTCGCCAAAGTCTACCAAGCAGTTTCCTTGGCCGATAATTCCATCGTCGCCGTCAAAATTATCGACAAATCCAAAACCGTCGGCGCAACCCTTGAACGATGCATAGTCCGGGAGATCGCCGCCATGCGCCGACTCGATCACCACCCAAACATTCTGAAAATCCACGAAGTCATGGCCACCAAGTCCAAAATCTACCTGGTGGTGGAATTCGCCGCCGGAGGCGAACTCTTGGCGAAAATCTCCCGACGTGGACGTTTCACCGAAACCGTTGCTCGCCGATACTTTCAACAACTCGTCTCGGCCCTGAAATTCTGCCATGAAAATGGCGTTGTTCATCGCGATGTGAAACCGCAGAATCTTTTGCTGGACGAACAGGGCAATTTGAAAATCTCCGATTTTGGACTCTCTGCTTTACCCGAAAAACTCAAAGATGAATTGCTTCACACGGCTTGCGGAACTCCGGCATACTCGGCGCCGGAGGTCATGATCCGACGCGGAAACAGAGGATATGACGGAGGAAAGGCGGACGCCTGGTCTTGTGGAGTGATTTTATTCGTAATGCTTTCTGGGTTTCTCCCTTTCGAGGACAGGAACCTTGCGGCAATGTACAAGAAGATCCACCGACGAGAATTTCAAATCCCTAAATGGATATCGAAACCGGTCCGATTCTTAATTTATCACCTCCTCGATCCGAATCCCGAAACGAGGATGAGCATTGAGGCGCTAATGCAAAACCCTTGGTTCAAGAAATCGCTAGCACGGAAACAGAGTAACGAGAGCCTGATGCAGTCGATGAAGAATTATCGATTGGGGAAAGAGAGGGGAATAGGGGAAATGAACGCGTTCGATATAATTTCGATGTCATCGGGGTTGGATTTATCGGGGCTGTTTGAAACGACGGAGAAGAGGGCGGAGAGGAGGTTTACGTCGAGGGCGACGGTGAGGGAGGTGGAAGAGAGGGTGAGGGAGATCGGCGGGGTGTTGGGGTATGAGGTGGAGGCGGAGGCTGTGGCGAAGGGAGGGGCGATCGGAATGGGGAAGGGGAGGGTGGTGGTAGTGGTGGAAGTGGTGGAGATGGCGGTGGCGCCGGTGACATTGACGATGGTTGAGGTGAGGGTGATAAAAGGAGGGGAGGAATTTGAAGAGCTCCATTGGAGATGCTTTGAAGCTAAACTTGAAGGATTTGCTGTTCCATGGCAGATGAAATGTAATCTTTGAATCACCCCTTTAATTTTGTAAAGCTTTTTTTGATCGTTGTTTTGTTAGTGTGTAAATTGGTTCACACTCCATATTTAAACAATCATATTAACCTATATTTCTTCCCAGAATTTCAAAAAACTTTTTAATCATCCTTCCTACCACTAATATCCATTAGAAACATTAAAACCTTTTTTTTTTTTTTTTTTTTTTT